GGACACTGCAGGAGGGACATCGCGGGAGCGCAGGACAAGGTAAGTGAAGAACAGATGCCGGAGCAACGCTGTATGGTAAGCCCGAGTGTAGCTCGGGGTTACTGCTTTTGGTACTGAAACCTTTACCCCGAGCTACACTCGGGAATACCACCATGGAGGCTACGGGATATTTTTCTTTATACAGTAAATTTGATTATCCAAAAGGAATACTTTTTTCAGATGAGAACAGACCTCTTTAACCCTTTGCTGCCAGTTCCATCAGGACCTGACAGCGGAGGGTTTTACACACAATCTGGTGGCTGCAACCACATGGAAGGGTAATGGAGCAGGAGCAAAATGAGCCCAGAATAAATGAAAGAAATTTACCAGAAACAAAGGTATGGGAGTGAAGAGGGCTTAATATATTGCAGTATGTATAATGACAGCTGGCTGGCCAGGCCCCCCTGTTAAGTGACAGGTCTGGGGCCCCCCTACTGGAAACCCGGTGGTACCCCCATTATCGGCGGCCCTGATTGTTGGTTTAATTAATTTATATCGTTCAATATCTCCCGTACTCATAAGTGCACGAGTATCATCTCAGTTGTTAACAGGGGTGTATTTACCACAAGGTAAACAAGGCACTTGCCTAGGGCGGCATTTTTCAGGGGGGCAGCACCTCCCCCAGAAGAAAGGATGGAAGAAGGGACACGCGCACCATGGGAACCAGGTGGGATCTGAGAGAGGCTGTGGGCTGCTTGATGGTGTATGTAGAGCCTGGCTGTTATTCCCAGGGATGTCCAGAGCAGGGAGGATGAGTGTCTCTCTATCACCGGTGGGGGGGTAGTGGAAGGCTCTCCTGGGTGGGGGGGCAGAGGTGTTGTTGGTCAATGTTAGGCTCTTTCCATGGGAGGGGGAAGGGGAGGTTGTGTTGGTCGGTGTCCGTGAGGGCAGACAATTTTTGTGTTGCCTAGGGCAGCACAAAACCTAAATACACCACTGGTTGTTAATATGAAACCATGCATGATGAAGTAAATTAAGGGGTCTACTTATAGAAAATTCATTGGACGAAAGTGACCAGCATTCATCCAGCCATTACAAACTCTAGCCGTATTTTATTTAACACAGTGGTTTCCTATGATTTTCAGCTCTATCTAGTGGCCATAATGGGATATTTTTCCTGAAATACACTATATTGCCAAAAGTATTGGGCTGCCGGCCTTTCCACACACATGAACTTTAATGGCCTTCCAGTCTTAGTCCGTAGGGTTCAATATTGAGTTGGCCCCGCCCTTTGCAGTTATAACAGCTTCAACTCTTCTGGGAAGGCGGTCCACAAGGTTTAGGAGGGTGTCTATGGGAAGGTTGGACCATTCTTCCAGAAGCACATTTGTCAGGTCAGGCACTGATGTCGGGGGAGGAGGCCTGGCTCGCAGTCTCCACTCTAATTCATCCCAAAGGTGTTCTATGGGGTTGAGGTCAGGACTCTGTGCAGGCCAGTTAAGTTCCTCCACCCCAAACTGGTTCATCCATGTTTTTATGGACCTTGCTTTGTGCACTGGTGTGCAGTCATGTTGGAACAAGAAGGTGCCATCCACAAACTGTTCCTAAAAGTTGGGAACATGAAATTGTCCAAAATGTCTTGGTATACTGACGCCTTAAGAGTTCCCTTCACTGGAACTAGGGGGCCAAGCCAAACCCCTGAAAAAAAAAAACCCCCACACCATAATCCCCCCTCCACCACACTTTACACTTGGCACAATGCAGTCAAGCAAGTACCCCCTCCTGGCAACTGCCAAACCCAGACAAGTCCATCAGATTGCCAGACAGAAGCATGATTGGTCACTCCAGAGAACACATCTCCACTGCTCTAGAGTCCAGTGGCGGTGTGCTTTACACCATGGCATCCAACGCTTTGCATTGCACTTGGTGTTGTAAGGCTTGGATGCAGCTGCTCAGCCATGGAAACCCATTCCATGAAGCTCTCTACACACTGTTGTGCTCATCTGAAGACTACATGACGTTTGGAAGTCTTTAGCTATTGACTCTGCAGACAGTTGGTGACTTCTGCACACTGTGCACTTCAGCATGCGCTGACCCCGCCCTGTCATGTGACGTGGCCTACCACTTGGGGGCTGAGTTGCTGTTCCCAGTTGCTTCCACTTTGTTATAATCCCACTAACAGTTGAGTGTGGAATATTTAGTAGCCAGGAAATGTCACGGATGGACTTATTGCACAGGTGACAACCTATCACGGGACCACGCTTGGAGTCACTGAGCTCCTGAGAGCGACCCATTCTTTCACCAATGTTTGTAGAAGTAGCCTGCATGCCTAGGTGATGATTTTATACACCTGTGCCATGGAGGGGATTGGAACATCGGAATCCAATGATTTAGAGGGGGTGTCCTAATATTTTTGGCAATATAGTGTATCTCTATTAGTAAAAATAGCACAATACTGCATTATGGCCACTAGATATAACCAAGGAAATCGGTCTATGAAATAAATACAGGCAATATTTATCACAACTGGGTGACTGCTGGCTACATTCACTAAACTTTTTCTTTTTTTTAAATACACCTGTTTGTGAAAGCTTACAGCACAAAATGTACTCAGCCAATGAAAGGTAATGACTCCATTTTTATTCTTCTCCTGCTATCAATGGCCAACCCGGTCCCACACTTCATCCGTGTTTTTGGTGACGTCTGATCTCCTTATGAACTGTTTCTTCCATGATGAAGATCAGAAAATAATTTAGATGTCCACTAGCACTTGAGTGCCCCCAATGTCAAACCCCAGCAGCTGAACAGAACACCAATGCCCCCCTGACATATCAAAGTTCAATAAAAATCCAACTGTCCAGCACCTCTGGAATATAATAAGTGTCAGAGGAGAGTACTCTCCTGACACTCACTTCCCCGGACTCTTACCTGATTTTCTGATCCATATGTATCAAAGTGGGTCTAATAAAGCTTTACAACCCCCCATCTCTGTGTCTTCTGTTCCTTTTAATAGTGCTTTCCCTTCAGGTTTTTCCACATCTTCCACAACAATCTTCATCTCATCACCCGTACACCCCCCAAAAATAATAAATTTATGTAGTGCAGTCATTTGAAATGACCATGTAGTAAATTGTGCTGTATGTGACAATCAGGCATGAAAATCACTAGTGATGCATGGTGTTGCAATACTCTGTGAGAATAATGTGTCCCCATAAAGCATCTCCTGATTATGAACATAAGGTCCTATCCCTGACGAAGCCACATGGGTTGGTGGTGTAACGTGTGGGCCTGAGCTCAGTCTCTTACATTCACTTTCAATGATAATGGTAAACAGGACAAATAGAGAGGGGGGAATCTCCCTAACGGGGGCACAGACAGCAAATAAACTGGCCAGCTGTCCAATCCATCTCTTCTCTATCCAAAACGAAAAAAAAAGTTTTACCTTTAGTTATACTTTAAGCTTCCATGTAGAAATGAGATAACAACAGCTAGTGGGGCTTGTCAGACATTGTCATAAAAGAACTGATTGTAAAGTAGAGTGCCGTAGCCAAAAATAATGTCTGGTACTATGGAGACCTTCCAAGTGCTATATAGAATGCCTACCCCAGTGACAACATAGGTCAGGAGAGTGACATTTTAGCTAGGCAACAAACCGAAATGAAATATTATGGAAAAGAAAAGGAGAGAAATTGAACAGAAGAATGGAAGAGAGAGGAAATAAGTCTGTGTCTCTCCACCGTCCAGATCCACAAACTACCCAAAGAAACGAATGATCAAGAACAAACCTGGGGTCCACTAAGAGAAGACTTCTTGTGAATGTCAGAGGTCCCAAACCTGGTTATATATCTCCAATGTATCCCTGAGATGAGCGTTCAACATTTCCATGAGCTCCACATCTCTAATTCTAGTGTATAACACCACCTGAGAAGGAGGCGTTCTCTTTTTCCACTTAAGTCCTATTAAGCATTTAGCCGCTTTGAGTATATTTATTTATTTATTTCAGATACTTATATAGTGCAGTCAATTTACACAGTGCTATATATATATTGTACATTCACATCAGTCCCTAACCCTCAAGGGGTGTACAATCTAAGGTCCGTAACTCACATTCATGCACCCACATACTGTGGTGTGGAAAGATTCCGGGAGACCAAACCTAGCAAAAAAATAGTATGGGGGTTAAAGGAAAGGTGGAGTCAAATAGTGTTGTAGCAATTGGTGGACCGCTCTGCAATAAGGGGACAAAGAGAAGGCCAATGTATGAAATCCCTTCTTCAGCTCTGTGTATTCAAAGGAGCATGGGGGGGGCTCTTGTCCATATTGGGGGTGGTACTGACACCCCCCAGATGATCCACATTGGCTCACAATTGATATGATCCAGAAATATTTAGACAGAATAAAGGTGAATAAAGCCCCTGGACCGGATGGCAGACACCCACGGGGCCTTCAAGAATTCAGCTCTGTCATCTCACAGCCATTTTTTCTCATTTTTAGGGACTCTTTAATGACTGGCATAGTACCACTGGATTGGTGTAAGGCCAATGTGGGGCCAATATTTATAAAGGGGACAAAATCTTTCCCAAGTTATAGACCTGTTAGTGTAACTTCTATAGTTGGGAAGATACTGGAGAGTTTAATAAAAGACCACATAGAGGAGTTCTTGCTGGAAACAAATATTTTAAGCAACACACAGCATGGATTCATGATAGACGAGAAGTTGTCAAACAAATCTGATTTCTTTTCATGAGGAGGTGAGCAAGACCTTGGACAGAGGGATGGCGGTAGACGTGGTATACTTGGACAGAGGGGTGGTGGTGGACGTGGTATACTTGGACAGAGGGGTGGCGGTGGACATGATATACTTAGACAGAGGGATGGCTGTGGACGTGGTTATACTTGGACAGAGGGGTGACAGTGGATGTGGTATACTTGGATAGAGGGGTGGCGGTGGACATGATATACTAAGACAGTGTGGGGGCTGTGGACATGGTATACTTGGACAGAGGGGTGGTGGTGGACGTGGTATACTTAGACAGAGGGGGGGGCTGTGGACATGGTATACTTGGACAGAGGGGTGGCGGTGGACATGGTATACTTGGACAGAGGGGTGGCTGTGGATGTGGTATACTTGGACATTGGGGGTGGTGGTGGACGTGGTATACTTGGACAGAGGGGTGGCGGTGGACATGGTATACTTGGACAGAGGGGGTGGCAGTGGACATGATATACTTAGACAGAGGGGGGGCTGTGGACATGGTATACTTGGACAGAGGGGTGGTGGTGGACGTGGTATACTTGGACAGAGGGGTGGTGGTGGACGTGGTATACTTGGACAGAGGGGTGGTTGTGGACATAGTATACTTGGACAGAGGGGTGGCGGTGGACGTGGTATACTTGGACAGAGGGGTGGCGGTGGACATGATATACTTAGACAGAGGGATGGCTGTGGACGTGGTATACTTGGACAGAGGGGTGACAGTGGATGTGGTATACTTGGACAGAGGGGTGGCGGTGGACATGATATACTAAGACGGTGTGGGGGCTGTGGACATGGTATACTTGGACAGAGGGGTGGTGGTGGACGTGGTATACTTAGACAGAGGGGGGGGCTGTGGACATGGTATACTTGGACAGAGGGGTGGTGGTGGACGTGGTATACTTAGACAGGGGGGGGGGCTGTGGACATGGTATACTTGGACAGCGGGGTGGCTGTGGATGTGGTATTCTTGGACATTGGGGGGTGGTGGTGGACATGGTATACTTGGACAGAGGGGTGGCAGTGGACATGATATACTTAGACAGAGGGGGGGCTGTGGATGTGGTATACTTGGACAGAGGGGTGGCGGTGGACATGGTATACTTGGACAGAGGGGTGGTGGTGGATGTGGTATACTTGGACAGAGGGGTGGCTGTGGACATAGTATACTTGGACAGAGGGGTGGTGGTGGATGTGATGATATACTTGGACAGAGGGGTGGATTAAGGATAATTAAGGATAGAGAGGGCATACTTGTTGCATCCTGTTTTTAAGGTGGGCAGGAAAGGTGGCGATAGCTCATATGGTGGTGATAGTGCATAGGGTGTTTTAACTTGCACCGCTGGACTGGTATATAGGTGTTGGATTACCCTTAAAAAGGGGCTTTTGAAACCCAAATAATTAAGAGTCTTGAAGAGAAAGGGCCAGCTAAGACAATCTAAGCAAAAGAGTTAGACGGATGTCTCTGTTGGCTACGACAAATAGATCAATCACTCATCTGTTGGAATGGAACAAAGCCCACCTGGTCTTCATGTATTAGTGAAGGAAGGACTCCATTTAATCCTATAGAAAGCAACTTAATGAAGATCTTTAAATCTGAATTCGATAGGGAGATTGGCCTGTAGTTGGTGCAAAGGGTATGGTCTTTTTGTCTGGCTTGGGTATCAAGGTAAGAAAGGAACACTGCATGTCCAGAGAGATAAGGCTCTTATGTAGAAAGCCATTGAGCAATCAGACCATATGTGGGATAGTAAGGAAGGTCTCCTAATACTCAGAACCATCCGGTCCAGCTGCCTTATGGTTGGGGAGTAACTTTAGGCATACTGCTCTCTGCCAAATATTGTTGTAGAGGCAAAGCTGATGGGTTATGTGGGATATCTCCATTATTGTACAACAGGGAATAGACATCTCTGAATAGTCTTACAATTGAGGTTGGGTGCAAACACAATGTCTCATTTTTGTTTGCTTGCTGTGCTGCAGAATGAATTTTGTCTTTCGGTTTATTCACCAAAAGGAAATGGGCTTTATTGCCTTTATCGTAGTAGACTTGCCGTAAACAAGTAAGAGTTTTTTCAGCTTTTCCCAAGACAATTTCTTTAAGGGTGGCACAAAGGTCTACCAATTCTCAAAGTTTGCGCAGTGACAGGGATGTATGTAGGTGCACTTAACCTCCCTGATGGTATTCCTGAGTGTAGCTCGGGGTTAAGGTTCAGCACCAGAAGCGGTAAGCCTGAGCTACACTCGGGAATACCCTACAGCATTGCTCTGGGATCCCTCCAGCACTTACCTTGTCCTGCGGTTCCATGATGTTCCCCCTGCAGCATCCCCGGCCATGTCCTCCAGCCAATGTTGGCATCTGTCTTCCGGGTTCCGTTCCCTGCGAGCGCCGGAACGTACGGGGGATGGTAACGGCAGGAATTTAAAAAATGTAAAAATTTGACATTCACTCAATACACTAAAATCTGATAGTATTACATTACTGTATCAAACCATTTCACATACATTTTGTCCCGAGTGCTTTGTCCTGTGCCCTGCCTGCATTTTTACTGTTCTTTCTGCCTGGAAACTGAGAAACGTCCAAAAAGCCTGGAAACTGAGGAACGTCCTTTTAGCTTCCTTTTAGGTCAAAAGCGGTTTAAGACCGGCTAGAGAACAGCGATAGTAAATCAGAACCACTTTCAGAATTGAGTGATAATGATTCGTGGGGGAAATTCGTCATCAGACACTGAAAACGATTCTGCGACTTTGCTCAGTGATGTGCGAACTTGGCGCTCTATTTCAAATTTCAGTGTTTTTGGTTTGATTATATTATTGAATTAAATGTATTATTATTATTATTATTATTTTTTATGATTATTTATTATATTATAATTTATGATTTCGTGTTTCAAATTTGATCATACCCGGGATGTTTACTAGACTCTTGTTCGGACAGATTTCAGTGAGTTATTCCTAAAAATGACAGGCCTACAATAAAAAAAAAAAACATATTTCCATTGAAAACAATGTACCACTTTGAGCACAGAAATACTGACATAGTCAGACCGCTAGGGAGGTTAAAGTGTCTGAGTTCTAATGCATTAGCGTTTTTCTTCAAAGCAGACAATAGAGAAATGCATTGACCCCAAAAGACCAGGTTATGTGCTTCCCAGACAATATTACTGAAACATTCAGTCTAAGATTCTCAACAAAACAAGTCCATATTGTTGATTCCAATTCTACTTTGGAAGGTATGTGTTTGAGAAAAAATCATTAAGTTGCCAGTGAAAGGCTTTCAGTTTGGTAGCATCAAGGGACAGAGTCAGCAGGATAGGTCAACATATGAGCAAAATGGTAGCCATCTTGAGCATTCGTAATGTGGGGTTATTTAGAAAGAAATAATGTAGGCATGAATTAAGTAACTGTGGGTGGGAGTAATGCATAAACTGTCATTGTAATACACACCAAGAGTCGAAAAGAGCTTGTCTGGTAAGTTGGCAAATTAGTTGAGAGCTTTTTGAAGCTTTTTAGATTGCGGGGTTTGACTGCCCAAGGCAAGTCTATTCACCACCATTGAAAAAGTAGAATATAGCCCTTCTCTTATCATCATCAACATATGCTCTGCGTGAAACAGGTGATTATAAACTTGAGAGAGGAAATCAGTTTGATTGACATTGGGTGCATATAAGCTACACGGTTATTTCATGGGTTGACCAAATACCCCTCAGGATAATATAATGGCCCCTAGAATCTGTGGTCAAATCCACAAACTGAGGGCCTCACTTGATAAGGATGGTAACTCCCTCCCGCTTCCTCCTGTTTGAAGCTTGATAAGTATGTGAGTAATGTCAGGATCAGGGGCGGACTGACAACTCATGGGGCCCCCGGGCAATAGGGGATCATGGGGCCCCTGTGTCCTTGCCCAAACTCAAAAAAGCCTATGAAAAAGGCACCAGGGGCATCTCATGGGGCCCCCTACTGACCCCGGGCCCTCGGGCAGTGCCCGAGTTTCCAAATGGTAAGTCCGCCCCTGGTCAGGATGCAAATGTGAGTGTACCGCTTTTATCTAAATGAGTCTCCTGTACAAAAATGATGTCCGCTCCAGATCTTCTGAAGTGTCAGATGTCATTTGTAGTTAGAGTTTAAACCATTACCAAGGACAGAATCTTAATCATGATAAGATTGCAATTGATGAGCCAAATAGAGATTAGGTATGGCAGACAGAGCTACTCAAAGATGTTAACAAGTGACCCCTAAGTGTAATAGCATATGTAGCACCCTCTAGTGTGCTACTAGTGTTAGTGTAGGTAAATTTATTGTGGTATGATCCATGGTAACTGTGTGAGTCTGTTATTAGGTCGGGTTGCTGCAAGGCAGGCTGGATGGCTCTACAGATGCTTCTGGAAAGATGGCTGCTTAGCCTAGAAGCTCTGTTTCGCAGTTGCCAACACTGGCACATTCCAGTGCAGATTCTCTTCACCTCTCGCTGGGTCATACAACTACTAGGACCCTCCTGCTCTCTTTATGGCGAGTGGAGTGGGTCATCAAGCACGGTCCCGACTGCCACCAGCGAGCTGATCCACATAACCTACCTCCAAGATGGCTGCCGCAACACAGGGCTGGCCAGGAGAAGGATTGGCATGTGCTCCAGCAGGTGAAGGTGAGAACACCTCAGAATGCTGTACACCACACTCTCCCCCTGTCAGCGCTCCTTTACCTCCCAGGGACTCACCAGCATCCACAGTTCTTCATAGCACACACACACTGGAGGACCTTCTAGATTCACAACCTGCTATACAACCAACCAGCCCTGACATGGCAGACATATTATGCCTCCAAGGTAGACCTGAGGCATCAGGTGCTGCTCTATAAATTTTCTGAACTCTTGGAGCAAGGCCTAGCCTAGCAAATAACTGCTGAGATTAAGGCAGACATCCAGGGGTTAGGTACCAGTGTCGAGGCTGTTGAGACAAAGCTGCAATTGACCATTACCTGTACTAATCAGCATATGCAATGTATTCAGGACGACCTGGAGAATCATTCCAGGCATTATAACTTTTGGATTCGAGGGATGCCAGAATCCGAAAAATACACTGAATGAGTTGTCCACTCCTTCCTTCATGACCTTTTTTCCTGTCCACCGGTTGAAACTGGATAGGGTGCACAGAGCTCTTCAGGATCCACGCTCTGATGGCCTCCCACGTGATATTATCATGAAAGCCTTTAGATCTGCTGAGGCCCTGCTCATCCATGCACACAAGGTACAAATCTTCGCTGACATCTTGACTTACACTATATAGAAGTGGCATGCCTTAAAACCCCTTCTACAAGCAATTACCTGCAAAGATGTCATATACTGGTGACCTTTCCACTGCACCTTCATTTCTCATACCAGAATAAGTCCTATGCCTGCTCTACTTTTCAGGAAGGGGAGAAGTTGCTGCTCCATCTCGGGGTCAATTCACTGGACCCTCAATCTGCTTCCTCGCAAGGTCAGTCATATGTGCTCACTGATGATGCACCAAATCCTTGTCTGATCTCTCCACTCTGGTGATCACAAGGCACTAGCTGCTCCAGGAATGCCTGTCCACGTTGAAATCCTGCTGCTGCCCAACAATGTTATTTCATTGGAGAACTTGGCTGGTCATCCTACTTGAATATTTCTGGACTTCTCAAATACCTGATTTTTTGTTTACTTTTAACTGAACCCCCTACCTTGTTTTTTGGGACTTTGGGGTTTTCCCCAATGCCTTGGATCTTTTTTGACTGTGTAATATTTGGGGGTTATTTAGCTCAGGGTAACGCTTACCAGTGAGTAGAGTCTGTGACGGGAGTCACTTTGGGTGGAGGGCCCATGGAACCCAGCTTACTTTGCTGAGGTTGGGAGAACCCTGTCTCAGCTTCCCCTATCCCTCTTATGTTCAAATCACCCTGTGTCTCTTAGGGGCACGGGGTGACTAATGGATTCTGAGAATGTGGTTGGAATTACTTCAGGTGGGACAGTAATATTTATCAGCCATATGAAGACTATTCCTGATTGATGATTCTGAACTAGACATGTGAATTGAAAGAGCTGATCACCCGGTCTCTCCTCTACTCCAGTGTAGGAAAGACTGCATTGGATCTATGTTAGCCGCAAAACTCAGCCCTAAAATACCACTGTCTGCACCCTCCAAAATACATTGCTTGTCTGGTGCATATACCCAACATCTGCAGAAGGCTCTGGTAGAGTTTCACAGATTTTATTCCAAACACTATCAGTCTATTACTCCTGTAGACTAGGACAGCTGTCTTTTCTTTCTTTGATCCAGATCCCAAAACTAGCCGCAACCCACAAGGAGTTAATAGACTCACCCATCACAGCAAAAGAAGTCCTCCAGGCCATTAAGCCAGTGAAGCCTGCCTCGGCATCTGGCCCCTACGCGTTCTCTGCGGTATACTACCATTAATTTGCTAACACTCCAGCTTCCGATTTGGAGAGGTTCTTCTATCTCCCTGCTGGGCCGGTCATTACCTCGACCTGGACATGAATACTGCATTTATTTCAGTGATCCCGAAACTGGGGAGAGACCCCGATGAGGTCAAAAACTATAGGCCAATTTCCTTAATAATGGCCTCAAGTTGCTTACCAAAATTTTGGCCAACAGATTTTTGTCATTTATAAACACCTATAACCATAAGGCCCAAGTGGGGTTTATCCCTTGTAGACAGGGTCCAGACCAGGTTTAACGTTTTCCCAATCTTCCTTCTATATTGCAATCAGGGTGGGCCGGGGAACAGACCCAAACTGGTATACTTTTATCTATTGACCTTCAAAAGGTTTGTGATTGTTTCTTGGCCATACCTTTTTGGGCTGTTGGAAGAATGGGGTTTTGGAACCAACTTTCTTTCCTTTTTCCGAATGCTCTATGCAAACCCAGTAGTGAAGGTAAGGCTTCCATTCCGACCCTATCAAATCGCTAGAGGTACTAGACAGGGGTGTCCCCTATCTCTGTCTGATTTCAAATTTCTCAGTAAAAATGATTGAAAGTAAAAATGTTTTATTTTCCATCAAAATGTTCACATAGGTAAATAGGTGCATGTTTCCAATACTGAAGATCACGGAATGGGCACTTCATGTTCCAAGGTCACTATTAGACATCAATTCCTGACATGCTTCGCCCATAGACTTTATCAGAGGACACAGAGATGGGTGTGTGTTATAAAGTTTTATCAGACCCATTTTGATATATGTGAGAAAATCTGGTAAGAGTCTTGGGGAGTGAGTGGCAGGAGAATACTCACCGTTGACATGTACATATATACCTGGGGTGCTGGACAGTTTGATTTTTATTGAATGTTAAAGATCAGCCATGGAGTATATCTGAGGTGTATATCAGGGTGTGCTTCTTCCCCACATGAGAGCTGGGATGTCCAGCAACATTCATCTAGAAGACATTTCCCACACTCAAGGCACTAATACACCACGAGGCTTGTGTGGGAGCCCTGATGTACAGGAAGACAGGACTTCAGTGAGTAACATTTCCCGCACTCAGGACAGGAAAGTGGCTTCTCCCCCATGTGAGATCTCTGATGTCTGCAAAAGACTGGATTTTACTGAAAAACATTTCCCACTTTCAGGACAGGAATACGGCTTCTCACCTGTGTGAGTTCTCTGATGTGTGTGAAGACTGGCTTTGAATGAAAAGCATTTCCCACACTCAGGGCAGGAATATGGCTTCTCCCCCGTGTGCAATCTCTGATGTGATGAAAGACTGGACTTCACTGAAAAACATTTCCCGCACTCAGAACAAGAATACGGCTTCTCCCCTGTGTGAAACCTCCTATGTATGTCTAGATGCGACTTGACTGAAAAACATTTCCGGCACTCAGAACACGAATATGGCTTTTCCCCCGTGTGAAACCTCCTATGTATGTCTAGATGCGACTTGACTGAAAAACATTTCCCACACTCAAGACAGGAATATGGCTTCTCACCTGTGTGGAGCCTCTGATGTATTTGAAGATTAGACTTTCGTGAAAACAATTTTCCGCAGTCAGAGCAGGAATATCGCTTCTCCCCTGTGTGAATTCTTTTATGCACATTAAAATTGGATTTAGAACGGAAACCCTTCCCGCACTCAGTACAGGAGAAGTTCTTCCCTGTTGGAAGGCCGGCCCGGTCCCGCACAGTCTGAGGGTCCTCAGGATACGAGGAATCCGATGGTCCATCTACACTGGGTGGTGGTGCCGGATGGACATTGGAGGGAGCCGGGTTTTCTGGACTATACTGTGTGATGTCCTCATCTTCTACTTTCCAGTCTGGAGACAAAGTGAGACAATCCTCGGAGGTTTTCCTCATCTCCCGGCCATGGACTAAAATACAAAGACAAAGAGGATTACTAGACAGGAGCTGATTGGTTTCCCCAAACCAGGACTCCGCCCACATCAGGCAGCTTGGTCTCTGAGGAGCTTACAATTCCACCCTCAAGGGAACTAGGAAATGGCTCCTCTGATCTCCTACCAGGTCATTTCTTTATTCATGGACCTTAGTCAGAGAGTGAGGAAACAACCAGAACTGTCTTTTATAGGAGGGACAGTGATGAGGGGATTATAGGACGAGGGTCCCCACCCCCTCTATCACTCATTGCCATCTTCCCAACACAAGAAGTACTGCACTTCCTTATTTAGTCCATGATTTAGTCATGAAGAACAGCGAGGCTGAGCCCCACCAAAGGTCAGAGAGTGAGGATGGGGGGAGAACAACCAAGATGAAGACTGGACTGATCCTGAAGACCACCATCATTGGGGTATTGACTCCTCCCTCATTATCACTTTCTGTTTAAGGGTCCAAAGTTGGAGGATGTTATCACATTATTATCACCATGTAAAAGTCTGTGCTCCAATCACATCATCCGATATAAAATGTCCAGCTGGGAGGAAATAGGTGTAACAAAAGAGAATCCATATTATGTGTATATATAGCAGTGGGGGGGGGGGGAGCAGAAGTCAGGACTATTGAATGTACAACATAGAGTATATAGTGCAGGGGTCAGGAGTATGTACTGTACAACATAAAGTATATAGTGCCGGGGTCAGGAGTATGTAATGTACAACATAGAGTATATAGTGCAGGGGTCAGGAGTATGTAATGTACAACATAGAGTATATAGTGCAGGGGTCAGGAGTATGTAATGTACAACAGAGTATATAGTGCAGGGGTCAGGAGTATGTAATGTACAACATAGATTATATAGTGCAGGGGTCAGGAGTATGTAATGTACAACATAGAGTATATAGTGCAGGGGTCAGGAGTATGTAATGTACAATAGAGTATGTAGTGCAGGGGTCAGGAGTATGTAATGTACAACATAGAGTATATAGTGAAGGGGTCAGAACTATGTAGTGTATTTAGTGTTAATGACCCACCTGTGCTGATTTTTGAAGTCCCTTTTATTCCATCCTCCTCCATAGACTGCTGATCATCCCTCACATACATTTCTTCTTCTACTTTAACATCAACTTTTATATCTATCATATCTTCACCCTAAAGCAAGGGGTGAATAACATCTGTGAGACATAAGCTTCAAAATTGTGACATCACATAAAAAAAGCCACACATTGTCTCCGTAAGTCCATGTTCTAGATGCTCCATCCCACCAACCTTGTAATAGTGAGGGATGGTGTGATCTTCCTGTGTGGAATCCCGGGAATACAGAGGACGGGAACATCTTTCTGGTGGGTTCCTAGTATTAGGTGGCTCCATCATATCCTTGTGTCCTTTTGGGAACTCCTCCATCACTCCATACTCCTCATCCTCCTCTTTATACTCTTCTTTAACATCAATATTATCATCCCCGAGGATTCCACTCTGAAAGATATAATAAAACATTCATTGTAACAAACATGCTGTGTATAAATCACAACTACCAATAATTGTCATCATCTACCTGATGATGGTGAGGGATGGTGTGACCTTCCTGTGTGGAATCCCGGGAATACAGAGGACGGGGACATCTCTCTGGTGGGTTCCCATGACTGGATCCATCTGTAGGAAACACACACACTGACTGAATCCATTGTTTCTATGTGTTTATCAGATGATGGGGGATCTAGGTGGATCCTCCGTACTGCTCTCTCCTTTACAATAAAGTCTCCTCTTACCCGGTGATGTGAGGGGCGGCTGATTGTCCATCATGACGTCCTTGTAGAGATCCTTGTGTCCTTCTAAATACTCCCACTCCTCCATGGAGAAATAGACAGTGACACCCTGACACCTTATAGGAACCTGACACACACAATGATACAGTCACCATCCAGACACATCCCTTGTCTGTTACTGGAGAATGTCCCAGAATTCCCGGCACCGCTCACCTCTCCTGTCAGCAGCCCATCATCTCCTTGGTGACTTCTAGAATCTTCTGCATGTTGTGTCTGTCAGGTTTTAGGGAGTCACATGGAGGCACTGTGATGGTCATATGATCACCTGACTTCAGAAGTGGAAATCTCTGTATTGGGAAACCAATAGGAATATCATGTTAGAATCCCAGAATCCTCCTCACCTCTCCGGTCAGGTCTTTGTTTTATTAATAGAGATGAGTGATGTCATGTGACCTCCCAGAATCCTCCTCACCTCTCCGGTCAGCAGGTAGATGATCTCCAGGGTGAGGTTTAGTATCTTCTCAGTCATGTGACTCCAGTCCTCCTCCATCCTCATTGGTGCCATCATGTGATCTATACAGGTCTCCTTGTAGACGGATAACTTTGGGAAATGAAAGTAAGAATGATTTGGATGGTATTGGTCACACAATAATAGGATGTGGATGTGTGGGGGGGAATATTAAGAAAGTAGCTATACAATGAAGGACTGCCCCCAAGGGAACACATTTTGTTTGGACTGTTTAGTGTTTTATATATCTTGGAGGACCTGAGACCCTCTTGTTCTGCCAGATCAGATATTTCCTTTTCTCTGTTGGGTTTTTTTTTTAAACTGGTTTGCAATTGAAACAGAGCTGCTCAAGAACAACTGCTCACCAACAAGTGAGGAATGCCTTCTTCCTCTTATTTGATATTCCAGAACATATCACTTGACCACGGAGACAAAGAGGTGGTTAAGATTGCCAGTTCTGTGAGGTCTGAAAAATAAGGGCAAGTGGGGTGGGAGGGCCATCACAGACACAGAGACCCCCCTCCCTTCCATAGAATCCACTGAGCCCTCCATTCCCCTATTCCCTCCTTCAGCCTTACTATCCCCTCAAAGGCCCCTAAAGTCTTTCAGCTTTACTAAACTCTCACAGCCCCTCAGATCCTCTACTTCCCTCAGACCCCTCAGTATTTCCCTCCCTCTGACACCAATGATGGAACATATTCTTCATGGCCGGCTGGGGAATGTTTCCTTCCTCCTGAGCAGCAATGTAAGGGGCTCTATGCTCCATACTCCTGACCCCGACACTCCATCATTGTGTTGGCTGCATAGTGTAATGATTGCCCATTGGCTGCCTGTGTAGTGTCATCATTGTCCTTTGTAGGCCATGTATGGTCAGGATGGTCCTTGTCTTGTCTATTTATTGTCAGTGCTGTTTGTTTAGAGCAGGGGTCTCCAAACTTTCTAAACAAAGGGCCAGTTTACTGTCCTTCAGACTTTAGGGGGTTCGAACTGTGGCTACTGGGAGTAGAAAACGTCCTGCCGTCAGTGGGAATAGACAATGCCCCATTTTTTTGTGTCAGTGGGAAGAATTGTGACTCATTGTTTATGTCAGCGAGAGGAACTGTGACCCATCGATGTTGTTATTGAGAGGAATTGTGGCCTATAGTTGTTGTCATTGGGAGGAATTATGCCCCTTAGTTTGGTGTCAGTGGGGGAAATTATGCGTCGTTGGTGTCAGTGGATGAAATAGTGCTTCAAGGGCCGGATAAAAGCAAGGAAAAGGCCGCATCTGCCCCCCAGTTTGGAGAGCAATGGTTTAGAGGACCATATTATTAAAATGTATCTCCACAATGAGGAGAATGTTCCGGCCCCGAAGTGGGGGAATGTTCTGCCCCTGAAGGGGTTAATCTGGGTTCCCACACTATATATGTGTGTATCATCATCTGCTGGAGATAAAAGATGTCACACAGTGACTATGGAGGAAGAGGACGGACATGACTATGGAGGAAGAGGACGGACGTGACTATGGAGGAAGAGGACGGACGTGACTATGGAGGAAGAGGACGGACGTGACTATGGAGGGAGAGGACGGACGTGACTATGGAGGGAGAGGACGGACGTGACTATGGAGGGAGAGGACGGACGTGACTATGGAGGGGAGAGGACGGACAGGACTATGGAGGGAGAGGACGGACAGGACTATGGAGGGAGAGGACGGACGTGACTATGGAGGAAGAGGACGGACATGACTGGGGGTTACTGGGTGTAAATAGGAAATAACATCTTATTACCTCCTCTGCTGCCACTTCCACCAAAGTCTCCTCTCTACTTCCTCCTCTCTCACCCGGAACATCCTGTCTGTACCTGACATCACTTTTCCTCTCTGTATTCCATAGAGACTTCCTGTTTGTGTACAAGTAAGATTTCCACCTAGTGGGGTTCAGAGGAACTGCAGCCTGAGAAACATTCAAAATAACCATATCTATCTACTACGTAAGTCCAAAAAAATAACAAAAAAAGTAAGAAAAATGAATCAAGCTCTTATCCAACCAACTGTTTAACAAAACTATTTTATTACATATAGAAATTTCTTAAAGACACAGAACACTAGTTAAAAAAAAGATATACATAATAAAACAGATACCCCAAAAACAGAACCTTTTGGTGAAGAAAATGAAAAAATATATTCTAAAGTATAATAATATCAATCCACTGATAATGAAGATGTTAGACATAAATGACAAGGATGTAATGGTCACATAGGAATGGTGGTGGAGATCTCTCAAAGTAAGAACACTTCCTTGAATGGTTCTATAAATAAAGAATGAATCCTGGAGGGAATAAAGCTGTAAAGCAATAAATAATATATAAACTGGGCCATTCTCTTCATCCATAAAGACATTGTGATTGAAGATCTTCTAGATCACATAGAAGGAGGACTCATCCATGATTTCATACATTTGTTTGGAAGGATAGAACAATCCTCAGAAGGGAACATGTAGGATGACAGGAAAGGCTCCTGACTGGTGAGATCCTCCAAACATAATGATGACATCCATGAACTGGAGCGAGCTCGTTGGGGTGATAAAGCCAATCTGGAAACACTGTGTAGACGTTCTCCAAGAACTCAGCACACTCCAGGTGTGGAGAAAGTCTCCAGGTGGGATTAGTCTGTCATTTATCATAGGTAGGAATCTCCACACAGGGACTTCCACAGGGACCCCCGATACCACATACAGTATATAACTTCTACAATGTCCCCAGGTCTTTAGGTGGGCTTAGCTTGTAATTAATAATGCAAAAATGGGGGGCGCATGCGATGGATGCTCAGTGAATAGAGCTTCGTTTCACCACCAGCCAGAATCCGGCACACACTGGACCCAGCAGCTCCATGGCTCACACAGGAAACATAAAGGGTCACAGCACCCTCCAGCACTATGACCCGCCGCCACAAAGCTTCGGGGCACCCAGGGAAACTGACAAGCTTCTTCCCGGCTCTCAGCCCCTGCAGCCAAGATGGCACTGGCTGCATGAAAAGCACAGGCAGAGGAGAATACAGCACAGGCCACAAACCCCAGGCTCAAGGCACCACTGTACCCAGGAGACCCAGGTGAGTCCTCTCCTCCACTGTCTCCCTTTATCAGCAGTCCTGCCAAATCCAGACCAGACTGGACACAGACATCATTCCTGACACACAGCCTTCCTTTCCAACTACAATTACTGCAAATACTTCTCCATCTTTAATTGAAACCTTTCCTGCCTCTGACCAACCTATCACGGAAATTTCTATAAAAAATATGCTTCTTTCTCTGCGACAAACACTGCACAATGATCTGACAGCAACTCTATCCCAAATCTCAAACACGGTACAAAAACAAGATTTCTGTATTTGCCACATTGAGAACAAAATGGGAGAGATGTTCACGGCAGACAACGATCTAATAGATGCACATGCAGACCATGAAGCCAACATAGAACAAATAAATCTTAAACTGGCAGATCTAGAAGACCGCTCTAGATGGAATAATATCAAATTCTGTGGTATCCCTGAATCTATTACTATGGACGCCATAGTTCCTTACATCCAACAATTTATGAAGCACCTTATTCCTTCACTCACAGACGTAGAGCTTGCCATAGATCGCGCACGCAGAATTCCCAAGCTGTCATTCCTACCGGCTGCACTACCCAGAGACACCTTAGCGCGTATACACTTCTATCACGTGAAGGAGAAAATAATGATAGCTGCTAGGAATTCTACTTCAATTCCAGCATCCCAAGCGAATATGAAATTATTCACTGACCTCTCAAAAGCTACACTCCTCAACCGCAAGAAGCTTGTCTCTATAACGAAAGCACTGCGGAATCATGGAATTGGATACCAATGGGGTTTCCCCATGAAACGTACCATCAAACGTCAAGGAAGGCTCTACATGATCAGAACCCTGGAAGCAGGCATCGACCTCCTGAAAACCTGGAACATCATACCAGTGGACTCCTACCAACCCACCTCTAATCGTCCACAACAAATGGATGCAGAATGGTCATGATCTAAAACCTACTTGCATCACTAATCACCCAACAAGCTGGGCATTAGTCCACAAACTACTAAAGGCTGGCAGACGGCCCTTATCCGATCATCTTCAGACCCCAAGTCTTCTTCCAGCATGACATCTCTCATGAGTCATGCTTGTTCAAACCTCCCCATTATTCAGTAGCAAAGTGTGCTACACATGTCACTTGTGTTTTTTACCCTCTTCCCTCTCATGTACCACCAGTCAATCAAACCAATTTTTCTCTCCTCAAAGACCCCCACCATAAGATGGAAAACCTTCCTCAAACCAGTGACCAAACTAAGTCTACAACATTATGCTTCTAAAAGTTCACCACCTACGACAGAAGAAAACTTACCATTCCTTTAAATCTCAGAAACAACTCCGCTACTCCACTCAACTCATCAACACTCAGCAAAATGCTTAATATATCATCTTTAAACATCCGTGGCCTCAACTCCCCTTACAAAAGATCTCTACTTCTGAAAGAAGCCCACTCCCTAGAAGCTGACGTCCTATTTCTACAAGAAACCAACTTTGCCTCCATCAAAATCCCTAAATCCAATATACATCACTTCTCCTCAATATATATGGCGACAAACCCCAAGAAGAAAAATGGTGTCATCACAGCCATAAGAAACTCGCTTCAATTTCAACTCATCTTGGAAACAGCAGACCCCAAGGATGCTATCACATTCTTATATGCAAAATCAACAAAATCCTATACACCCTGGTCAATGTCTACGGTCCAAACGTCAACCAACTCCAATTCTACAACAAACTCAACTCGATCATCTCCTCTCAAAAAAAAGGCAGACTACTCATCAGCGGAGACTTCAATATCATAGGCAATCCCCTCCTGGACTCCTCCTCCAACAAACGCTCCTCCAAACACACTCTTAACCAATTCTTACATACTAACGATCTCTATGATGTCTGGCGATGCCAACATAGCACAAAAAAGGATTATACCTATTACTCTCCATCGCACCTATCCTAGTCCAGAATTGATTTCTTCATCACTGACAAATGGACTTTACAGCATGCAACTTCCTCAAAGATCGGCACCATAACGTGGTCGGACCACGCTCCAATCACCATCACTCTCGATCACAATCAACACTCTCCGATACCCCGAATTTGAAGACTGAATTCGACCCTTTTGAAGAATCCAGACCACAAGAAACACATCCTAGATCAGGGGTGGGCAAACTTTTTGACTTGAGGGCCGCAATGGGTTCATATATTGGACCCGGGGGCCGGACCAAGAGTAGATGAATTATGTGTATGTGTCATCCATAGTAAGTATAGTAATATTCCCCCATAGTAAGCATAGTAATTAATCCCCCATATAGTAATTCATACCCCATAGTAATTCATCCCCCCTATAGTAATTCATCCCCCCTATAGTAATTCATCCCCCATATAGTAATTCATCCCCCATAGTAATTCATCCCTCCTATAGCAATTCATCCCCCCATATAGTAATTCATCCCCCATAGTAATTCATCCCCCATATAGTAATTCATCCGCCATATAGTAATTCATCCCCCATATAGTAATTCATCCTTTATAGTAATTCATCCCCCATATTAATTCATCCCCCATATTAATTCATCCCCCCTATAGTAATTCATCCCCCATATAGTAATTCATCCCCCATATAGTAATTCATCCCCCATAGTAATTCATCCCCCCTATAGTAATTCATCCCCCATAGTAATTCATCCCCCATAGTAATTCATCCCCCATATAGTAATTCATCCCCCATATAGTAATTCATCCCCCATAGTAATTCATCCCCCATATAGTAATTCATCCCCCATAGTAATTCATCCCCCATATAGTAATTCATCCCCCATAGTAATTCATTCCCCATATTAATTCATCCCCCATATTAAGTCCCCAAGTCCCCCCTGTGTCAATTCACTTACCTTTGCTCCGCGCGTTCCTCTCGCCGTGTCCCGCGCCGTTCCGGTGTAGCATGAAAATCGTCTCCTATGAGGATCTGTTCCCCTCGACGTATCTGTGCATGTGCCAGTTTCAGGCATTAGCAGCCGATCGGCGATCTCCGGCACATGCGCAGATACGTCGAGGCGGACAGATCCTCATAGGAGACAGATTTTCATGCTACACCGGAACGGCGCGGGACACGGCGAGAGGAACGCGCGGAGCAAAGGTAAGTGAATTGACACAGGGGGGACTTGGGGACTTCATATGGGGGATGAATTAATATGGGGAATGAATTACTTCGGGGCGGACTGTGAGAGGAGCCTAGCTCCGCGGGCCGGATTAAAAGGTCCGCCGGGCCGTATACGGCCCGCGGGGCCGTAGTTTGCCCATTGCTGTCCTAGATGCACACAATACATTTTTTTAACTCAATGATACACCTGATATTTCTATATCCATACTATGGGCCACTTATAAAGCGTATATGAGAGGTATTCTTATACAATTAAATAAACACATTACTAAACAAACCAACAAATTAACAAACTCCTCGCCTCAATTAAATCAAATGAAGAAATAAACAAAAAATCTCCAGACCCCTCAATCTCTTCCTCCCTCACCGCAGAAACAAACTCAGATCCTTCTTACTATACAAACACGACCTCAATCTCCAAAAAATGAAAGTAAAATATTACGCCCTAAGCAACAAAGCAAATCCTCTACTAGCTAAAATGATCAAACAAAGACACCTAAAATACAAAATAACCTCAGTCCAACACCAGGGGCAGACTGACAACTCATGGGGCCCCCGGGCTATAGGGGATCATGGGGCCCCTGTGTCCTTGCCCAAACTCAAAAAAGCCT